GACACTCAAGCCTGTTGTTACAATAGTCATAGAATCACCCTTTTCTAAGCATATGATGCCAAACGGCTTGTGTGAGAAAATAGTAGAATGTTCTAGATTTTTCTTGACAGCTTTGTTAAATAAATTATGTAAAATTATTACGATGACCATGTCCGACACTCAAGCCTTTTGTTATCTAGCCTTACAATTACTTTTTTTAAGCATATGTAAAACGGCTTGAGTGAGAAAATGGTGGAAATTTGCATACAATTTTCCTGCCACTTTCCGACTCAAGCCTTCGTTCCGTCCACATCCGATAGTCATGCCAAATTTATTATGATGTCTAACATATCAATAACATTCTATAGTTTCAAAGGCTTGCTTGAAAAAATGACTGAAAAATCGAAAAAAAAATCTGTTAAATTTTCCGACCTCAGAATGTATTTATCCATTCCCACTACTCAAGCCAATATGTTTTTCGGGGTAGTGACGGTGGACGTTTTCATACTTCCAATAGGCTTGTGTGCAAAAATCGGTCGAAATTTCGATTTTTTTTTACAAGATAAAGCTTTTTTTTCAACCCTTTAGCCACCTGCAGCACTCAAGCCTTTGGTTTCTTGAAGCTAGGTTTTAAATAATTAATCATTTAGTGAACACGGCTTGCATGGAAATATAGGCAACAGACACATTTTATTTCGGTTAAGAAAAATCGAATTTTCCATATTTTATCCCCAGGGGCAACTCGTGAATTTCACTTCATTCTACTCAACATCGAAGTACTTTTCAACCCTCTTCGAGGCTTGTATGCGAAAATGGGGCACCTAAATCTGTCACTATCTGACGGTCTAATAGTCAATCGAGACGCGAAGCATCGAGATTGACTATTAATCTCGAGACAGAAATGAAAACTTTCCTCCGAGGTTTGTATACTATTTTATTTGCAAGCACACCATTAATTAGGATTAATCATTTAATTTTTTTAAAACGTTAACTGCCGCACTAGAGTAAAAAAAAACGTTTCGAGAGGGCCATATTTCTTTATTTTCAGATTATGTTAAGTGCGGGAACACATTTTGTGGATGAAAAAACCCAAAATAGTCTTAAGGGTTGAAGTTACCCCCGTGAATCATAAATAATTCACGCAGCCTCAGAAGCAAAATGATAGCTCCTAGGCCACGTGAATTATAGTACCTACAAAGTACCTGCATACATATTTTATTTATTTTTATATTATAATCATTTATTTTAAGCACAGGAACTAACAAAAAATGAATCAAATAATAAATATTTGTTCCATTAATTATTTTTCTTCAAATTATTTTCACCTGAATAGTCTAGGAAAATTGTCGATTTTCAAAAAAAAAAATTCTACCCAAAAGAACTTTTCAGGGATGATAGGGGGAAGGTGGGTGATCATAAAACCGAAAATATCAAATATTCACCCCTCTGGCGTTTGGCGCTATAGGGGTTGAAAGTGCGCCATTGGCGATTACTTGGTACCTATTGATTTTACCAAAAAATGTTTCAAATAAAAGATGTGCAACATTATTTGATCTACAATGTTTATCTGAAGACTTTTTTGATTAGCGGCCGTCTGTGGTCATAAGGGCCGTTTGAAATTTTATAATGAAAATGAAAAATTTTAACCAACGTGAAAAAATTTTCTACAACTCATACAACATTTTTGCTTCATGAAGTTTTTACTCACCCCCTGCCGTTTTTCAATAGGGGTAGTTTAAAGTTTTTTTATTTTTTTATAAAAAAATTTTCTCAATAAAAGTTTTATAAGATGACATTTCCTACAATTTTTCCTTATCAACTTTTTTTGTAACTCACCCCCATTCAGCGGGGGAACACTTCCCTCGGGAAAATTTTTGTTTTTAAGGGTATATATATATTTTTTTTCTTTTCTCGCCTTTAGTGCATATAAAAAGTTGCAATTAACATTGTATTAAAAGGATTTTTTTTTTCACCACCTTTTTGTTTTTAGGGGTAGTTCGCCTATTTTCAACTTTACAAAAAAAATTTATAGAGAAAACTTGTTCATTTTATTATTTTGAGCAACTTTCCTCCATAACTTTTTTTTGTAAAGTTGAAAATAGGCGAACTACCACAAAAAACAAAAAGGTGGTGGAAAAAAAATTATTCTAATACAATGTTAATTGCACCTTTTTATATGCACTAAAGGCGGGAGAAGAAAAAAAAAATTAATATATACCCCTAAAAACTAAAATTTCCCTAAGGGAAGTGTCCCCCCGCTGAATGGGGATGAGTTACACAAAAAGTTTATTGGGAAAAATTGTAGGAAATGTAATCTTATAAAACTTTTATAAGGAAATTTTTTTTGTGAAAAAATAAATAAACTTTAAACTACCCCTATTGAAAAACGGCAGGGGGTGAGTGAAAACTTCATAGAGCAAAAATGTTGTATGTGTTGTGGAAAAATTTTTCACGTTGGTTAAAATTTTTCATTTTCATTATAAAATTTCAAACGACCCTTATGACCACAGACGGCCTTAATCAAAAAAGTCTTTAGATAAACATTGTAGATCAAATAATGTTGCACATCTTTTTTTAGAAACATTTTTTTGTAAAATCAATAGGTACCAAGTAATCGCCAATGGCGCACTTTCAACCCCTATAGCGCAAAACGCCAGAGGAGTGAATGTTTGATATTTTCGGCTTTATTATCACCCACCCGCCCCCTATCATCCCTGAAAAGTTCATTTGGGTAGGATTTTTTTTTTGCAATACATGTATTTTTCGACTATTTTCCTAGACTAGAACTTAAAACGCATGGCCGTATCTCTAAACCGCAAAAAAATTGTAGGCCATTCACAGATATTTGCTCCCCAGGCCACACTTTTTAAGATCCCATATACTGGCCACGGTCGCGTGCATTACCTGCTATGCACCCGACCTCAGAAACAAAAACGCTTTGGAATCATATATGTATCACACGGCCCCCTGAGCTCAAGGCCGTGTGAATCATATTTAATGCATATGGCGGTTAACGTGTTAATATCAAAAAAATAAAACAAACATGCCAAAATGTGTCATTCACTGTTTTGACGTTTTTACCTGACATGTTCTTATATGTTACCAGCAAAGGTAAATAAATTAGAGTGAGGGAAATCGGTGAGGAAAGTCGAATAGGGAAATCGGTGAGGGAAATCGAACAGGGAAGTGACACAGGTAAAGTGACACAATTATTAAAAAGTCAGTTACCTATGTCAAGGTTACATATATGGTTGCAAATAAAATATATTTATGTAGGTACACGGTATACGGAGATGCACAATCCATATTCTCACAAGAATTTCATAAAGAGAATTCGTGAATCTCTCGAAACGGATAAATGGTGAATCAATGTAAAAATCCTATATTAAATGAAAATATGATAAATATGGAGTGTAGAGAGGGGCATTATAACATAATCGATTAATTACCTTTTGAAATCAGGAAAATTGGATTTTTGCATCTGAAAACACAAGTGTTTGTGAGAACTCACACCTAATAATGTTTATTTTTTATTCGCAAAAGACACAAAAACTGTCAGAAACACTGAGTGTAACCAAACCAAAACCAAGGAAAAGAAGCAAAAAAAAAACAATTATAATTCGCCTTGCCACCTATTTTTATGCAGGGCACTTAAAAGAAAAAAAACACACACTGGTAGGAGAGCGAGTGCAAGTGGCACGACTGCGCAATTTCTTGTTGTCTATAATAACACTCGAATAAAAATTCCAAGTTAAATCTGCCGAAAAAATATCGTAATCATGACGTTGGCATTGACTAGAGCTATTTGCAAGTAGATTCATAAAATAAGAATCAGAATAGAAAAATATAACGACATCAAATGAAAACAGTTTTTTTTTTCTGGAGGAACAATATATCCTAAGCTGAGCCAACTAAATGTATAAATGACATCTGGTTGAGAACTGCACTGGACAATTTTTTCGTGTTCATTCATAGACTACTATTCGCAAGTATCGGAAGTATAGATAAATTCTCAAAGCTATCAACGAAAACGTTAATCGACCTTTTTCATGCCATGAACAACAAGGCTAGTTTATTAAAATTTATGTAATATAGAAAGACACACCTATAATGACGCGCGATACCTGTGTGGAATGACTTTGATTGGTTCCAGTTGTCAAATTGTGCAAGTGCTAACAAACCTTTAATTGTACAATTATTATTGTATTTGATATAGAAATCGTTATTTTACGAACCCTCAAACCTCTGTTCCATAACTTAAATCGTCTTCAATCAGGTTGAGAGCACGTAACCATTGTTTTGTTAAAATTTGATTGCTTGGGAACTTATGAAAAAAAAGGTTTGACTTCTTTTTCGCCTTACTCTGACAAGATCTCACACAACACATTTGAACCATTGTATAATAAACAGTTTTTGTAATAATTTTCAGCAATATTGATTGATTATTGAGGTGAGCTAAAAAACGTCAGGGTCAGACCGCGTTCCCGTGTTCATTCAATTGACAATTTTATTATCTGTCACCCACAAGCTGCGCGCGCAGCACAGGTAAAATGAGAAAGGTCCATTGCACCATCGATGATGAGCTGAGCAGATCTTGGTCCTATAGCATATAGTTTGTCGGAGACATGCTAGGGAGAAACACTTCATCTCCACCGGTCTGCAGAATTGACTGTCTTTCGACCTCCTCCTCCCAAGCTTTCTCTGTCTGCTGCTCTAGGTTGTACACCAACAGCACTGAGCCTGGGCATTTACATTAAATCCACTTCCCTCATCCTTTTATATTAGTTATTATTATGCACTAGATACCTTCGTTTGCCACTCTAATTTTTAAAAACAATAATGGAATTAGACCAGGTAGAGCAAGAAAAATAAAATCCTTTGAACGAATTTCATTTGTCCTACCGTGCTGCTAGAATAGGAAAATCATGCTCCACCTACAGATTCTAGAACAAAAAAAGAGAATGTGATACTCACTTTTTGACCTAAAATTTTTTTGAAATTAGGAAGATTTTTTTTTTCAGCTTTAAGTAGTACTAGGTCTCCGTCTATGCGCAGAATGAGACAAATTTTGGATTTAGATAGTGTCAGGGCTGGGGCGGCACCGAGTCCCGTGCCAACTCCAAGCGGAAGTCTTCCTGCCAGGGGCCAAAGGCAATTAGACATTAACCCAGCAGGCATGTTTATTAATCGATGTCACACACAGAATATTAAAAATACCTTCCTTTCTAGAATTCTTGAAATATAAAATTGACAAACCAGGCCTATCAGGTGGTACTTCCATTACCGGCTTATCTCAATTGACTGGAGGTACTTCAACATCCAGCGCCGATGAACCGGTTAGCGGAATGCTGTGGATCCATCTTTTAGCTGGTAGAGGACTTAGAGCATCTACCGGTACTTCAGCTGCCACGACACCTGTGACACCAAGTGGAGGAGTGCCTAATATAGGAGGTAACCAATTTTTGAGTAGTAATTTTGGAACATAAGCCATAATTTTATATTGTTTCAGGATCGACTGGACTAAGAGATTTATACTGCGTATTAGAATGTGATAGAGTTCATAAAGCACGTACTGTGGTGAGAACTGGTGATTTAGTATTTGACTGGGACGAGAGCTTCGAATTGGATTTAGTAAATAATAGGGAATTGGATTTGTTGATATATTCATGGGACCCTCAATACAGGCATAAGCTTTGTTATAAAGGATCTGTGTACCTTCCCACTTTGCTCAAGTCCGGGCCGATACATCAGCTGGCCCTTAAAATCGAACCTAGAGGTACACTAACATTTTTTTATCAATGTTTAAATTTGAAATATTTTGTATGTTGCAGGCACATTATATTTAAGACTGAGATACACCGATTCGCAGAGTCTTTACAAAAGAAGACCTCTTTCGACATTAACTCTATCAAGAATGACCCCCTTATTTGGAGTTGACTTGGAGAGCGTGGTACGTAAAAATGTTACATCTCACACATATAATTTCTTAAGCTTGAAAATTCGATAAAAATTTCGAACGTGATTATAATGCCGTTTCGATCTGTTTTATTTTATTGTTGCCACTTTATAAGACAACTTACATTTAAAATTGGAATCAACATGATAGAATATATCGTGAACTATTTCAAGGACGTATTTCTCATACAAGATAGTATTAATTAAAGCTATGCAGTCCGCTTTTGATGCTAATTTTTACTATCCCATCAAAAACTCTAAAGGGGATATTGTATAGTACATGATACGATAAAAAAGATATAAAAACGATATTGAAGATCAATAAATAAGATGTAACAGTGATAATTTTATGAGGCTAGGGAGAGTCTTTCTCTTTTATATAGGCCCCCGTAAATTTCAACCAAATTCCAATATTTTAAAGGTATCATCATTGCAAAAAAAATTAAAATGTAAAGAGGATCGTATGTCTGTGATAGTAGATATAGCTCATCAATGTACGTAGGTCCTGCTATGCTATGCATAGAAAATATCCGAGGAAATATTCCTAGGTAGATTTTCTTGGATATCTCGAAAAATACTAATCCGATTTTGTGGTTTTTGGGGTCCTTTTGTAGGTATCAAACTCCAAAAAGGCCAAAATCAGATTAGTATGTTTCGAGATATTCAAGAAAATCTACGTGGGGATATTTCCTCGGATATTTCCTATGCATAGCATAGGAGGACCTACGTACTTTGGTGAGCTATATCTGCTATCAGAGTCATACGATCCTCTTTACATTTCAATTTTTTTTTGCAATGATGATACCTATAAAATATTGAAATTTGGTTGAAATTTACGGGGGCCTATTTCCAATGTTAATTGTGCGTCCTTCTTTGAAGGTAAATCGAGAGAATAAGACTGGCGGAGTACCAGGAGGAGTGGCAACCGGACTAGTCACAAGTGGCCAGCAAAATATTCCTATCATTGTTAAACGTTGTGTCGAAGAAGTGGAAAGACGAGGACTAGACATTATTGGTCTTTACCGACTTTGCGGTTCAGCAACAAAGAAAAGGATTCTCAGAGAAGCCTTCGAACGTAATAGCCGTTCGGTAGACTTAAGCCCGGACAATGTTCCGGATATCAACGTTATAACAGGCGTTTTGAAAGACTATTTGAGAGAACTTCCTGAACCACTATTCACCAAATGCTTGTATCAGATGATGGTTGATGCTTTGGGTGTTTGCTTACCCGACGATCCAGAGGGTAACGCAAAATTGATGTTTTCGATTTTGGACTGTTTGCCAAGGATAAATAGGGTGAGTGATGATATTTATTCTATAAACCTATATTGTTGCCTACTGGTAATGTCCAATGGTGGGGCAAAGTTTTTATAGTGAAATATGCAATAGTGTTCCAAAGGTAGACGCTTTTAATTTTCTGACAAAATCGTTATTTTTAATAGTCAATATTAAAAAGAAAACCCAAATGCCCCTTCAAGTTGTTCAAGCTTAATAATTGAAATTACCAAGAAAGTAAACACTTCCAAGACGTAATTCGACTCCATTCAGTTCTAAGTGTGAAACACTAAAGTGCTTATTAGCTGAATTTGTTAGCAGCCGTAACGTCATGGCGGGTTCTAGAGAACGTCTCTTGTCAATTCGGCATTTCTCTTGATAAATTTATGGTTTCTTATGCTGCTTTTGAAAACTTTTTTGCACAAATAAATGGCTTCTAGTTCTAGTTCCTTGGACGCTCTGGCTCTGATGTCGGAATAACGCCCATCCGTCATTTTGTGCCATCCAGCAACTTGTTTTTCTACTTTCAATATTTGATAATTTTGAGCTAAAAATATTCACTATTATTTCTAGGCAACACTTATCTTTCTTATGGACCACCTAGCACTAGTAGTTTCGGCTTCCGATCGTAATAAAATGAACGCCCAAAACTTGGCAATCGCTCTGGCACCCCCGTTGATGCTTCAATCGAGTGATACGATGACGCCAACGACAAAATCACTTGAGTTGGATTATCAGCAACCAATCAGCGTCTTGCGCTACCTGTTGCAAATCTGGCCTACACCGAAACATCATTCAGGTAATGTATGGATTTGCATGGACATGCATGAATCATTTTATAGTTTATTGAAGAATTGAAATATTAGCTTAATGCTCAACCAAAAGAGCATTATTTACTTCCGCTTCTTTTTTCCACTTTTAAACCAACCATCCTTTTGGGTAAAAGCAATTAATTAATGGTAGCCGTGCTTTTATAAGTTAAAACATAATATCTTATCTGTATGCATCAATTATTTTTTTCAATCACCAATCACCGACACCGCTCAACAACTTACAAACATGTCTAAATTTTTTAAAAATATATCAATAAATAAAGTACAAGAGTCAAATGAAATTGACCCTATGTGCGCACTGATACAGAAGTGTGCCAAAGAATAATATCTTATTTATATGCACCAATTATTCTTATCAATCACCAATCACCAACACCGCTCAATCACTCACAAACATGTCTCAATTTTTTTTAACATATCAATAAATAAATGAAGTACAAGAGTTGAATGAAATTGACCCTCTGTGCGTACTGAAGTGTGACAAACAAAATAATGTAACTTTTTTGTTTGACCACTTTTTACCTGTGCTCATCAACTCGTTTTTCTTTGCGTTGAAAACCTTCATATTATTAAAATAAGCGGGTATCTTCTACGCTCGTATAGACTCCTTTCTCTACTGCCTCTTGAATCTAAGGGACTATCAAATTAAAATGAGTAGATATGTCACTACGGGTCTATCGAATTTTTTATTTTCTACTAGATCCAGATTCATACTCCTACGACCTTTTTTTCTCAATTGATAATGCACAAATCTTTTTTTTTACTAGGAAATATCTAACTTTCAATTTTTTCGAGTCTCATTTATAAGACACATTTCACGCTTACAATCAATTATTACTAGTCTGTGCACTGCAAGCGTAGCGCTAGTTATTTTATGGTTAGCGGTGTTGGTGTTGAGGGTAGTGTTGGTATTGAGAGGGGGACTTTCCAGACAGGTCGGCGCGGCAGGCCGCCCGGGCCGCGTGGAGACAGTCGCAGTGTGTGTCCAGCGGATTTCTCGGCACGAGTCGTGCAGTCTCGGCCCTCAGCGGCTCTGTGTCCTCTTCCTCCTCGCTCAGCAGCCTCGGCCCAGTTGCAACAGCGAGGCCCACTGCCACCGGTCCCATCACACCAGATACTCGTAAGTAGTTCATTTGCTGAGTGATGGCAATGCTATTAATTTAAAAATAATTACTATTAGGGCCAATCATCAGTAAGCAAAGGTCCTTACCGTCCGCTCTCTCCGCGAGTCGGCCCACAATCAGTGGCGGGGGGCCAGGTGTCCTTGGGATCTGCGGTGCCCCCCGGTCCTCTCAAACCCCGGCATGTGATAGTATCCTCTCCAGGTATTATAGTATTTTGTTAATCAGGGCCCATTTCCTATTCTGTCACAAAGACATTGCGCCTAGCAACTGGCCATTGGGCGATAGAAAATATTTTGTAACAGTTGACAATATTATGATAACAATGTCAAGTAGGTGAGGTTCTTCCCGGGCTATCATGTGCTGGTCTGTTGGTATTTCTATCCGACGTTTCGTCTTCTCAGTGTCAGCCAGCCACGCATATCACCCGAGTACCTACACATGCATCAGTGAAACCCACGTTATCCATCAGAAGTCTACCTCAGTAGTAGACGAAACGTCAGGTAGAAATGCCAACTTACCACGGCATGAACCTCTCGCCAGATTTGATCAGTCGTAATAGCCTTCATCCCAATGTCAATTAGGTTCGCCAAGCAGTAGTAGCGACTCCCAATCCGGCTCCGACTCCGTCAAACACTGCCTGCCCAGCCGCGTTAGTTCTCCGGCCGTCCGCGCCTCCCCCTCCGCCCAGACTCTGCTACGTTCCTCCCCTTCGGTGAACATGGGATCTTCGGGATTGCGCCTCTCACCCTCAACGACATTAGCTTCCTCAATGGGATCGCCAGCAGGAGGGCCAAAAAATTCACCATCAATCACCAGTATCAGTAGAGCATCCCCAAGTTTGTTTAGCCAGGTAAAAATTGTTAATTCATAGGTACCTTTATTTAAATATAGTTTGCTTGTGTGATAAGGTTTGACAACGATTTGAAATTCTGTTGTACTTGATGAAATATAAGTTACTTATCTAATTGTTCTTATTATGTGTAATTATTTTGTGTCTATTGTTTATTCCAGGTATCAAGGTCTAGTTCACCTGCAATGCAAGGTAGCTCTGCAGGTCTGAATGTAACACTTGGCGGTCCATCGCCGTCGTTCTCATCATTATCTGGACTGCAGAGCACTATATCCAACATGACCACTACGACTGGTAATATGTTTGGACTATATACGCAACCAACCACTTACGCAAGCACCAATCCCTTTTTAACTGGTGCCTACATGTCCTACAATACCGGTGAGAGTAGCTACGCTGACAAGTTCAACACAATCGGATCTACAAAGGATATTAAGTCATTCTTCGATAGCTACTCTTCTGACTCGCCCACCAAGTACCCCAGCAAATTGGCCACGAACTACGAAACTAAAGGTTGCAACGATTCAATGATGACTTCTGGTAGTAATAATGGTTCCATATATAATACGAATAAATATAATACGATCGGAAGCAAGTTTCCAGAACAGAAGTCAGTTTATTTATCTTCGGTGTATACTACATCCGAGATGAAATATAGTCCAAGCAAAAATGGTATGTATTAGTCTTAAGCAAACTATATGGTAATTCACAGTGAGTGAGCAAATGAGTTATTCCTTGAGTTTTTTTTTTTTTGTGGGGGCATTTGAAAATCTATTTTTATGAAAAGATACATTCGCTATCAAAGATACATGCACTAGTATCCGTGGAAAGCGCCATATGTGGACTAGACTGGCCGGCACAGTCGATGACGGCTGCGAAATCCAACGAATAGAGCGGATGCCGGCTGTAATACATAAGAAGAGGTTTAATTGTTTGATACACGATGCTCTCATCAGTACATAAACGTCAAATTTCTGACCTAAAATACAGGGTGAATCTGAAAGTGAGGTTTTTTTTTTAACAGGGTATATATCTCGCCAAAATAAGTTGTTTGGCAAAAAATTGTTTACATGAAAAATTTAAGATAACGGAGTTACCAGGTATTTTAGGGTTATGTGCATTAAAAATCTAATTTCAATAATCTAAGATTTAGTAGAGAAAATATGATAAAAATTATCACAAAAATTGTTCAAAATTATTCCCATTTGTCTGATGCTTCATTTCCCTCCTAAATTTTGTCTGTTCCATTTTAAAACGAAAATTGATAGGTTGAAAATGAAATTTTTTCTGATGTAATAATGCAACTGTGAGTACCTATTATGGAATAAGACTCATTATGCTGGACTAATAATTGCTTTTTTGCGGCTTTTTTTTGAGAAAATGTAAACAAAGTGATTTATAGTGGAAGACTCCTCTAACCTCAAAATAGCTGTACCTCCGTTATCTTAAATTTTTTATATAAACAATTTTCTGCCAAACAACTTATTTTGGTGAGATATACATCCTGTTAAAAAAAAAGCCTCACTTTCGGATTCACCCTGTATAGTGAGATATATTCTTCAACTCATAGTATTTTATTCGGGAAGAGGGCAAGGAATGTTGAAATTTAGTAGAGCTCATCCATTTATGATAATAGAATAGCAAATGGTGAATTAGGTGGCACACCAATTGCTTAGGAGACACCAGTAGTGTCATTTGACCCCGATAAGTCAGAAAGCGCTGTGACATTGATCTGAAGATAGTTGCATGGTTCTTGGGTTACGACATCTGAAGAGACCGAGGGGAAAATTCCGCATAAAAACTCGGTTAACGTTTAATATCATCGGCGTGCGTGGTGTTATTTTTTTATTGTAAGTTCAAAATTATTTTTCATGTTGCGTTTGATTTTTGGTGTATATTTTCATGAAAAAAGCTTTGATTCTTAAAATTTCGAAATTTGCCCACTATATTGGTTATAACGCTCTTGTTTAGCTATGAAGAGCTTTTCCCTGCGTATATTTATTCCTATTAACACCTTTTTGCTACGCCACTGAATGGAACCTTGATCGAACAAAAAACTTTTAAATGCACACAACACGCATGTGCAACAAAATTTTAAATGCGCCCGCCAAGCTGATCCCGCCATCGCGTTGGTGGGAATCCAAACGCTCAGTAATTTTTTGCTATTTTACATACGGGAACTATGGCTCAATTCGAAACATGAATGTCCTTTGAATGATCTCACTGATGTCGGATTTCGGAAATACAATGGATTTTTGATGATATACAGGGTGTTCCGAAATGAATGCACCAAATTTTTATGGCATATTCTACGTCGAAAATAGTTTCCTATATTTTTTACATTGCTTCCAAGCAGTAAAAGACAATTTTTGATGTGAAATATTGAAAAAAAATAATTTGAAACTTTAGGTGTTTAAAATGTTTAACATTTTTATCAGAATTTTGGCGATTTCGCCATGCATCATAATGCTTTTTTATTTTTTTACTTGAACACAGTGCATCTTTCGGAAAAAAGTGGAGAGATCAAATTTGTTCCAAATTGGATAAGGATTTCAAAAATAATTTTTATTTTAGGAAAAACAGCGGCGCACCATTTTTTTCTTAAAAAATATTCCATACAAATCGGGTACGGACGTCACTGGTATTGTTTTTTTTTTTTAAATATTTTACATTAAAAAAAATGTCTTTTGCTGCTTGAAAGCAGTGTACGAAATTTCAATAAAATACCAAGAGTGGTTTGAAAATTATGATAAAAAAATTAGTTTTTTTCTTAGAATTTTAGCACCCTGTATCTCGGAAAGGAAGCGTTTCCGGACATATGTATATATAGGACACTAGGGCTTATTTTTGACGTAGAATATGCTATTATAAATTTGCGATTAGGTCCCAACGGCAAGCAAGTTATCATCTTTTCAGTTTTCTTCATTACGTAATTCGACCTCTAGGGGGTCGCCCTACTTGTTACAAATGACCAACCTTTTTGTGATATGATATATTCCGGTCTATATTTTGTTATTTCAATTCTGTGAAAAAGCCTAATTCTCTATTGGTTATCTAACAACGATCTAATTATTGTAGGCGGTAGTTTCGATACCGGACAAAGTACAGCACAAAGCAGTAGTTCTGGACTCTTACAAGTGGCAGACACCCCAACTCCCACTAGCAGCATCGAAACGGAGGACAGCAACACTCGCGAAGTAGGCGAGAAGGACGTGGAAGGCGATGGAGAACAATCCGACTGAATCATTTGCGGTTTGGGCCCCCATTAATTATTAAAAATAGCTTTTTATATAGTGGCAGCACAAATAAAAGACATAAGTACGTTTAAGCGAACACAATAGGTACTAGGTAGATGTAAAATCACCTCACTGATGTCATCATCTTTTCAATGTATATGTAACATTTTTCTAATTGTATCACTTTTTAAAACGGATTTCAAATCCAATAACTTTTAAGTTTAAATTGTAACGGAACAAAGAATCTGGTTTGGTGGAATATAAATATTTATTATACGTACCATGTGGATACCAGTAAGGTAGGTACTGTCTTTTTGAAAAAATTGAGGTTGGTATACGATCTTGAACAAAAAAGCAAGATCTAAGTAATTGTTTTTTTATTCAAAAGTGACAACCTATACAATCTTCTCACTACTGTGTGCGCCATCTTTCTTAAAACATGTACTTGCTTTTTAGAAATCAAACTAAATAGTTACTATAGAATCATTGTTGACTAAATATTTAAAATAAATATATGATTTTAGTTGGTAGATAAAAAAAAATATTTATAAAAAATAAAATAGATTATCTAATATCTAAATGGAATTATAGACTAAGAATTTGTTGAGTGTGGCACAATTTGTTTTCCAATTCTTTTTTAAATCCCATAATAACTATGAGATAGGTTATCGTTTCGGTAGTGTGATATAAAATAGGTATCAAATAAAAATACGACTGTGCTAGAATTGTTCGAGCTTTAAATGTTGGGAATATTGGCCCTCGTTCTTTTTACGAAAATAATTTATTCCGATAATTGCTTTCAGTGAGAAATAATAGAAAAAAATGTTCAAGGAAAGGTGATGGAGCATGAATTAAAAATATTTTCGGAAACATATTAAATTATGTACATTAATTTTTGGCAATAGCTATGTAGGTACTGTTGTTGATTGAGTTGTTATTCATATTGAAATTTGGGCTAGTTTGAGTGAGTTGGGTATTTTGTTCATAAGATTTTTTTTTCCTTATTTTCATGACCAATATCTACATTAGCTTAGACTGCTTAAATGATTGGTAGGTATCTACAGTTTCTAGTCACAATAAATTGTCCTTTATCATGAAATGGAAATCATAAAATAATACGAGTATTCTAATAATTTCAATGTCTTAACTAAATTGTCCACACGAAGAGTATTATGTAGGTACAACTTGAATCGCAAATTTTGTTGAGAGTTTGGATGTCGCGGAACCAATTCCGATGATAAAGGCTTGCTTCTAGTTGAAACCAATTTCATTGGCAGCAAAATAAATGCATTGTTTTAAAAAGAGCCCTGTTAGTCTGGACCTATCTGAAAGCCATAATTATTATTATCGAACTCATGGAAACCAAAGTTTTAGGATCACAATTTCAACTTTATTTTTCATCAATGACATCAATAACAATAATAACGCTATTCCTAAAATCATTTATTGATTCGAAAGATGTAAATAAAAGCATGTAAAGGAAATATTGTTTTTCATTAACTCAAATTAAAATTATTTTTTTGGGTTAAGTTCACTAACAGAGAACAAAAAAATGGAATTTATTTCAACCAGAGTCTTTTGATGTTCTACCGCTGTTGTCCTTTACATGTTTCACAAGGACCTCTATCATTCTATTAATTTTATTATCCACCTGTCACATTCTCGGCTCTATATTCTGTTGGATATGGAACAGAAAATAACACGTCTTCCACTTTTTGGGAGTAATTGTTGGTGTGAACTGGGTAAATTTATGAAAACTTTAATTTTATTTTCAACTCAAAGGATCAAGTTGCTACATTTGTTTCGCATCTGTCCAGCGCATTCAGCAGTTTGGAGTTTAGTACGCAATGATAAGGGGGTAACATCAGAGTAATATTGGCAACTGATAAGTCTATTTCATTTTTCTATTCGAAGCCCATCAAAATCATAGGTTCCTAGATACATTCTCGAAGAACTGCTCAATGGAGTTGTATTTTAATCATCAGCTTTAAATTTTCAAATGGGGAAAGACTGAAAATGTAGATAACTTTAGAGTACCTAATGAAATATTCAATTATTATTATATAAATAAATGGGGGTTTCTTTTCTCCGCTATTCCATCCACTAATGCGTTTAGATTTTCCAGATTTCATCAATTTGGCTAGATTAGCCAAAAAAAGAAACTGAAGTTACCGTCTGACAGCAAAAGTGCATTTATTTTTGTCATTTTATTCCGAGTATCCAGACTTTTGTTCTACCGACTTGGTGCCATTTTCATGCCATAGATAGCGCTGAAGCCAGAAGTCTACCATCGCTTTATTCACTTTCGTAGTCAGGCGCTAACTTGAGCTTTTTCGCTTGCTACCCTAATAGGAATGGAATAGTGAAGAAAAGAAACTCCCAGTTTCTTTGTACTTCTTTATCGGTTAGCCAAATAACCGGAAATATGCCCGGCTGGTTGATCAAGGATTCCTACGCCATAGATGGCGCTAATATCATTTGTTTCCCCAAGAATTGCCGCTCCACCAAAAAAAAAAATGCGACATATACTGGCAGGGTTGGCAGTTGCATATCCCGCGATGATAATTGCTTACATTGGAATTTATAAGTTATTTTCAGTATATTTCTATTCCATCACTTTAAACTAGCCTGAAATAACCGGTAATTAAATTTGTTTAAAATAATTTTCTTTAAATCAATCACAAATAATTAATAAGCTCTAGAATAATAAACATAAATAAAATCACTGCCAATAATATACCCTAAGTGCAAGTTAGGCAGAATTCCATCTTAACGGGTAAAAGAGCAAAATAAAAAGCGTTTGTACACTTATCCTAATATTACGTTTAAAATACAATATTTTTGAGTTTTCCAAGTTTGTAATTTTTCATGATACAAGTCTATATCGAAACTATAGATTGCTTAAATACTCTTTGTACTTAAGATGTAAATACAAACTTACTTATAAATGCAAATAGTTAATATATAAAATCTTGTAAACTTTTAGGAATGTACCCTTCTCATGATGCTGTGTCTAGATCGACAAATAGAATTTTCCGAAATATTATCACTGGAAACTGCTCATATCGTCTATACTATTACTTATTCTTGATTCTTGTGATTGTTATAGGCAAAAGTTGGCCAGACCAATCATTAGATAACCCAAAATCTGTCGAGCTCACCACGAGAATTTAGCCAATCAGAAAACTTCTCTCGATCCTCACACTTTTGTCGTAATATAAATTGAACGTACGTACAACATATATCTAAATATCAAACTCCTAGTTGAAATAAAATTATGAGTAGGTTTTTCTGATGCTTTCCTAAAGGGTTAGTTGCTAAAATTGCCTGTGGTTTTCAGGTGCATTCAACTTTTTCCAAAGCTTGCCTGAAAAATTTTCGATACGTCGCTTAAAAAGATCAAACATATTATCTAAGATCAAAACATACAATTTTTTAAAAAGTGCCAGTCATAAACGTTTGAATTGCGAAAAAACATGACCCGGAATGCGGTATTCTGAAATGTTGTAAACGTGCTGTACCTGGAATTTTCTCGATAAAAGATCTACTTAGGATATAGAATGGGCGGTAACCATTTGGCCTACGTCATCCCGTTACTGCATGCATGGTATTATGTTAAAATCGTAACTTTACTAGTGTGGATAGAATAACCCGAAGGAAAAGGCTTATCCTCACACCACATGAATTACAAATTTACAAGTGAAATGCATTACCTTCTTATTACAAACTTGAGGTTAACTAGATCAATAAAACGTAACATCCCTCTCAATATTTTGCTGAATTTTTTATTTTGAAAACTTTGTAGAAAAAACACATGCCTAAGTAGGGCAGATTGGAATGTTCTGACAATTCAGTTGTAGTTAGTTGCTCTTTTAGGTTGACTTTATATAAAATATATATTCCCAACTGAATGAATAAAATCTAATTTAGGTATACTTGACTATTTTTGAATTGAATGAGTCATTAATCTGTACGAAAGTATGGTTTTCCTGGGAGATTCTGGTCCCCTGAATAAGGTCTATCGAAGTGATAATGTAAGGAAGGATACCATTTGGCAACGCTGTGGACGGGTAAAATCTTGCTCTGAAACGCATTTTTTTCACTCGGTTTTTATTGACTCCACGACGAAAATACATCTGCACAAAAAGAAAGCTATTGAAAGTCTCTATAAAAAAGATCGAGGGGCCCTTTTTTTTCTATATGTAATCATTGTTTCAAAATCTTTCACTGAAATAGAAATTTGAAAAAAAAAAAAATGAAATTCAAAAAATTCTTGACGTTGTGTGGAATTTAAACAAAGAAGTTCATTTTCGGAAAAACACAAGTGTCCAACCTTGTCTTTACCGTTTTCTTCCCCTATGAATTCATTGAGTCATTGTTCAAGGAAATCCAAGTCAATCTTAGAACTTTGAGTTTCTACTTCAGTAACGCCTCCTTTTTCTGACCAGTCTTCAATCGAGTCAGCATTCCAGCAAGATTGTCTATGGCAGTTGCCGCGGCTGATGAGCAATTACGTCTCAACCTCCGACAGCCACACAATGGTCCACAACATTTCGTACAGTTGTAGTTAATCATCTTGAAAAAGTAGTTTGGGATGTTGTTTCTACCCACAATATGGTATTTTCTAGCATGCTCTCTAGGATTCAATTCACACGATTTTTGCACTCGAAAATATATACGAAATAGATATTGTTGAGCTGTTTCATAAGTGGATTGTCATGAATTCAATTTGACTTAGTTTGCTTTTGCTCACAGCTTCAATAAAGCAAGGATACTGATAGTTATCGATGAAAACTTCTAGGAGAAAGGTTATAGACTGCGAGAAAATTTTGTCTCATTCGAATTAATAGTCAGGGGAAGAACCTCTGCTACAATTTTCAAGTCCTGCCGTTTTTTCGTCACTTTCAAAACTGCAGCCTTGCCTTTATTAATCGAGAATGCGGATCTTGACTATCCCAACGCTGATCAAAGCTTCGTGAAGAATAGATTTTTCTTTCGAACTTCCCACTGTCTGGTTTGAGGAGAAAAATGCTTTTTTAATTGGTACTTGTAACACCAGTTGAATTATAAGAAGTTTCACATTTCCCAATCACAACCGTAGTATTTGTATACGATTTCTCACTGCCGTCAACCATCTAGTCTCCAAGTTCGAATGGGAAGGAGTAGAGTCACAATGAGACACAAAAAGTCTCCAAGGCTGAAGGGTGGAGTATGGGCTCGAAAGGGTGAAAAACGAACAACAACATCCTGTAACGAACTATCCACTTATGAAACTAAAATAAAATGTTGATGATGAATGCAAATAATACCTACGCCTTCCTTGATTGGCGTTTCTGTTAACGAATTATTCCACATTTATACAGTAACCTGATGACGTTGATGAAATGGTCGCCTCCGCCCGCAATGTTACTTTTTTTATCATTAAATCATTACATTTGATTAACTAAATAATTAAAATCACTTTTTCAACATGAAAATTCTACTTGTCAACCTAAATCCAGCAATTTTATCATATAGTTGTTGGTCCTATGGTATTTTATACTTTGTTAAGCTATTCCGAAAGTGTGATGTGTCCCTTGCTATGCAAGAAGTTTATTTTATTTTTGAAGTAGGTACGTGTCTCGTTATGTTACAATTTAAAATGTTTAATGTATAAGTGTATATAAACATGATTCCCACCATGATTTTTATCTAATTTAATCTACATAGCAATGATATTATTTTCTGTTTTTTTGTAAGTAACTGTAATCGTAAAAAAGGTAAGTATAATATTCCAAAATGGTATTGTCCACGCCTGAAATCTAAGAGAGGAATTGGAACTAAGTTTTCGAGTGATTTTGAGAATATAATGTGAGACTTGAGATTTTAATCATTAGCTTAAGGTTATATTTCTGAACAATGTTCTCTGGGTTTTTTTAAAAAAAAATCACGAAGGCGGCATTCAGGGTATTTTCCTTATCGGATTCGAGAATTAGATTTTTTCCTTCTTCCACGATAAACATGCTATATTATATTGAAAATAGTCTATCGCTGCATTCGTATTGCAGAGCATGGTTACTTGGAATTGAAGTGATTACTTTGAACCTTAAACCTGGCAAACTAGTTTCTTGAAGCTTGGAATTTTAAGCAACAACTGTAGTGTTTTGCATTTGTATTAAAATCAGTCCGAAGTGTTTCTTTTTTGCTGGGTAACTTTGACGCGAGTCCGCTGTCAGGATTAGAAAAAATGATGTGAAGTTACTGTGTCTGGTCTGGACTAGCATATCACCAAATATTTCCACACTTTTTTTGAATCACTTAAATTTAACCAGTGATATATATATGTTTTTTCCTTGGGTTTCTTTTAGATCATTGATTCCTTCATATTATATTTTTCAAGTTTAAATTAAAATTTAAACACCAAGACAAGTTTTAGGTCTATTCATGATTAGGTCTATACCACACTCTGTTCCGGGTCAGGTTGCTCCGGCTAAAGAAAAAATCCATCTGGAGAGAATCCTGGCAAAAAATGTTCGGAGCGCTCACCAAGAAAATCTCGGTAGGGACTCAGCTAGTTTATTCTCTTGATGGGCAGGAACGTCACTCAGATGGTTTTGAGTAATTTTTTGAGAGACTTTGTTGAAGAAGTGATTATCCACGTGGGACTGTCTGTTCAGGCGTTCTCGAAAATACTCCTCTCATCGGGCACTGATAGAAGCTGCATCTTTAGGAAGGAGTCCCATCTCCTTGGAGCTTTTGTACTTTTGTGGTACCTATTAAAGAAGGCTCGATGTTGTTAGAGGCTACCAAACGTTCCAATCCGATTTACTTTATAGTCCACCATTTGTTTTATAGCATTCTTTTCCTTCTTTGTACTTCGATTTTTGAAGATAGGTTTGTTTTTTGTGAGCTCAATTTGAGTCTGCCAGATATTGTAGTCTCCCAGCTTCTGATCAATGATGTTCTAAATTTTTCCATTGTTTTTATTAAACCAATACTGAGGTGTCCTCGTACCATTTCCCCAATCGATTCTTGACAGGCTGACAGCTGTTTTAAGCATGGACCAGTGCTGTTCAATATCGTCGAGTAATTTAGCAAACAATGTCTCATCCAACTTCAAGATCATTAGCTAAACAAATTTTGAAGAAAACCTTTTGCCTGGCTCATAGCCTCGCTCTGGTGAGAATATATCTATAAGTACATACTATTTTAACGGAATGCATTCGATAAGTAACTCGACGACATAGAAAAATGGTTACCGCTCTATATGTACTAAGTGTCCCTAATAAGCCCATTTTCAAGGTATATGTTCTACCCATTTTTTTTAATTTATTTTTTTTTCATGAAGTTTCGTGGCCATATTATAGAAATAATAAGGACTACGTTTAATTCATGCGTTGTATCTGGATACTAAGCGGATTCGAATAATAATGAGGATTAATAATCCTGAAATAAACACCAGCATTAGAGAAATAATCCGGATCGGAGTACTTAATCCAGTCCTCCAAATTTGTAGGATTAGACTTAAAATGGATTATCTCAAATGTGAAATAAACACATTCATCCCAGATTTAAGAAGTTTGTTGCTAACTTCAAAAAAAAATCACATTTGCCTTTGTAATTTTTTTGAGGATTGATGTTATTTAGTTTTATTTGATAAAAAAATGTTTACCTTTTGATTGTTAATTGAAACTGCGTTTTCCATCATTGTTGCCTTTAATGAAGTTAGAACAAATGACACAAAGCAATTTGCGCTTGCGCTTTTAACAAGGCCTAAGAAAGGATTATCTAACACTAATTTTAAATCCATTTAATGGTTGTGAAATAAACGGATATGGATTGATAATCCTCAATCCACTTAGTATCCGGATACAATGCGTGAAATAAACGTAGTCAAATATATTTTAAAATTTCCCGTTTGATTTTATAATCTCATTATTTCACTCAAAACTCACGATCGTGTAGAAGATACCCATATTTTATTAGATCTATTAAATTGCATTTTGTGCATTTATTTGGAAAGCTAGTACTCTTTAGTTTCTCATTATTATTTCAGAAATGCACACATTAATCCTTATACGTCTCTAAACGGGTCGTTCTGGTATACTATTAACCGGAAACTGCATCTTAGGAAACTTTTAAGTATTTACTTATGTTTATCATTAATTTTGAAGGAAATTATGTTGTCCAAATACACAAGAATATGAATCACATCTTCGTTCTTATTGAGACATTCTAAATTTCCAGGTTTCAGATCACTTAAAAGTATTCTACGATATTAGTTGAAACTTCTGCGGCCTATCGCCTAAGTAGTAAGTGAATGTTGCTATATAAAACAAAATCTGTATATTTCTTATGTTAGAGAAAGTATGAGCTGTGGAGAGAGATATACTCTAGTCAATTTTAGGTTTTGTCAATTTTAGGAGCTGTAGTTAAATTTGTTATTTTAAGAATGTTATTATTATGTGAACAATGCTAAAAATTAATATTATGAATTTTTTTTTTTTTGTGTACGGTCTCGATTTTCACTATGAAACGGTCGACGGTAGATACAGGTATATATTTTTCTTAATTTTCATCTTGTAAATGTGAATGATTTTTGAACATTAACTCTGCAATAAATAAAAATACAAAATTTCGCTGCAAATGTTTCGAGTTAGTCGATTTTGGTCATTTTTGAGTCATATCATTTACGTGCTCTTACTATATTTGACTGATAAATATAAAACTAATAAATATATCATACCTCATTTTTTAGAATAATTATTATAAAGTGAAGAACGAACACATACAAATTACAATTTAAGAGAAACACGGTGAGGTAATTAGTGTAAGTTTGCTTTTTGGCCGTTTCAGGTGAAAATGATTTCTGTGAGAATTTTACGTGAAATTTTATAGGTAGTTTTAATCGTAATTAAACATATGATATCTCATTAGGTGATTATTTTGCAAAATAATGTATAATAGCGCAAATCTACACAATTTCACGTAAAACTCACCTTAAATTAACAAAACGTTAGAGACGAATGGAAGTGTATGTTTTATGCACATATCATTATAGTGTTTATACTTTCCTAACGGCGGCATTGACGCCTGAAGTGTGTACAATAATATTATAAAAGCCTCGACCATATTAAACCATTCTAATTATATGTATATTTTTTTTTGGAAATTATATTTGCGAAAAGACAGAAATTTGGTTTTAGACAAAAGGCCTGAGTAATTTTGAAGATAAGTTTAACATTTGTCAAGTGAAGTGCTTTGAGCAAAAATAACACTTTTTCAATGTCTAATAAGTTAACCTGTTTTTTAATTAAAATTATTTTTGTTGCTCTAAAAAAAAGTCAAATGGGTATTGATCCCATATGGGGTATATACCTCTATGGAAAGCTGCATCGTGAAAAATATGGATTTCAGAGAAGGGCTTTTAAATAAAATGATGGAACATTGAATCCCGTAAAAGTTGACGTAAAAGCGATTTTCCAACAAAGCAAATCGTTGTTTTGTCAAAAACAGCAACAAGAATTCCGTTTCCATCAAACCCTTTAGAAAACAAGTTGAGTGTGTTTCTAGGGCGTTTCCACTACACCAACAGTTTCAAATATGACTATTTGATTCTTGTTGCGTGTGTTATTTCTAATAATACAGTCAATTCGGAAAAAAATTAATAGAACAATTCGGAAAAAAATTAAAAAATGCCTAGTATCTCATAAATTTGAATGCTTATCATAACGCTCAATAAGATTAATACAGTCAAATTTTTTGTACCTACCTTTCCTCATTTATTGTATAGGTACATGTACTACTACCTGGATCAATGACCACCCAAAAAAACAACCACTGCATATTATCAACTTGACAAATGTTATCTTTTTCTCAAAGTTAAGACAGGTATTTCTAATATACTATGAAATGAAACGCATAACGGCCCTGAAATAATTTCACAATATTTTCGAATGCAATAATGTGTGCTTTAATCGTCCATATAAGTATAGAATGATTATAATGTAATTATCTATCTTTTTCAACATCGCGGAGTCTGATAGCGCTAATTTTTCTTTAGCTTTAATTTTTTTTTAAATCTCAAATCATTCTAAGTTTGCGTAAAAATACTATACTTAAGAGTTGCTTTCAGTTCGATTTGAAGTACGTCTAAATGGAATTCGAACTTCAAAATGTCTAACTTAAACTAATATCTAGACCCTATTCTCTTACCCTACTATAGTTCTAAACAAAAAAATCAATCTATACAACGAATATTTTATACCAAATGACTATCACGTTCATATCTTCATGTATCCCATATAAATAAAAATAGACAATATAGAATTTTACTACTGAACTTTTTATAGAAGAAAGAACAAATCTAATTTTTGAAAAATATTGTGAAAATATTATTCCGGCCGATTAAAAGTTCTGTTGTTTTAATTCCCGCAATTTGAGAACCAGGAGCAATAAAATTTTAAATAATAACACTGAAATAATAAATAATTTTCGGCGGTATTGAAGCAATAGAACTTATAAGGACATAAATGTTTAAAATAAACTATTTATCAGTATTTAAAATAGCTTTTCAAATGGCTAGACCCTCCTAACCTGTACTTAATAACAAACTATTAAATAAATTAAATAAACCATCGAGTTGAGCAATATATTTTATTTTTTGTTTAATATTGAACCTTCCCCGAATTTCAATGTGAAACCGTTGCACACGAGAAGCTAAGATATTTTAAAGCGTTCCAAAACTTTGTCTAGCATCAAAACAAAATTATGCAAACATAAGCTCTGTTCCAACCGACATGAAAACCATTCTAGAACGGTAATTTCCAGTCGCCCACCTATTTTTCAATAAGTTGAACGTTTATCCTAATTGACAAATTGATTAATGGAATTGTATTTTATATTGTTGGTTGCCTACCGTTGGGTGTCGCGCGAATGGATGATACACCCAATGAACTATAACCAAAAACTGGAATGCGCTCATTGGCACACACTGATTGCCATATCCGCCAAACAGTGAAGCCAACAAAGACGGATGCCACTAGGGGGAATGTTGTTATTTTTTGTTGCTCACTGACATATGACGTTTCGAAAAGTTTCGTTATATTTACCTACACAAGTTTTATTAATTGGAATACGTGTTGAAATCAATTTCCGCCATTTAACGTAATGAATGCGACAAAAACAGGCATCCAGTTACATTCTCGTAAGCTTAGAGTTAAGCATTTTGTTACTTTGTTTCCAGAACTAGACCAACCGTTGCATTTCATGGGAACCGCTTTGTCAGCAAAGCTTATAATTATAAATATTCATTTTACTTAGGTTTAAGTCAGTTGTATTGTAACCACGATTTTTTTAACTAACTCTCAAAATTCGAGTTGTTAACTGGCGCAGTCGGTAGGATATTGTTGACGGTTTCGCGCATCGTGCGACAAAGTTATCGGTTCGCTCCAACGATTTACGGCAATATCGAACGAAATTTTCGAAAGTGGTGCAACGCAGCTCACCCAGATCAGGGAAACCAGGAACAAAAATCGTCCCATTTTTATTGGTGCGAGCAAACGGAACAAAAATCGTCCAGACGCTCATAAGGTAGTTTCAGGGAGAAGACAAGCATCGCTTTTCCTATTGGGCTTAGGTTAAGAATGAAGAAAATCATCGTATTCCTGCTACTGTATAAGTGAATCCTTTCAGTTTCCATTTTTTATTTTTTTCCTGATTGTTTTATTGCTACATACACTGTTTTTCACAAGTTAGGAAAATCCTAATTTTACTTTTTATATATTTTTACCTTATTACTTATTAAAATAGGTGAATAACTCTATTTGTCTTAAAACCAAAAACAAAACAATTTTTTTTTGTTTTTTGTCAATTTTTTAATTTCGATTCTTTAAGAAAATAATTTAAAAATGGCAAATTATACTCTAGTTCGTTATCAAGCAGATAAAATACCTAGTTTTGATGGTAATCAAAAACAAGTAAATAGATTTCTAAATGCTTGTACTAATTTTTTAACAGCTCATAGCGATCCCAATATTGCTGGCGCAGCCATTAATATTGCACTTTTCGATACAATTTTAAGCAAACTAGTTGGTAGAGCAGCAGATTTAATTGCTTCTAGAATAGAATTAAACTCATGGGATTTAGTAAAAAGTGCGATTATTGCAACTTTCTCCGATCAAAGATCAATTGATTGTGTTATACAGGACATCATTACAATGAAACCTGAAAAAAATGGAAATCCTCAACAATTTGGTATACGTTTGCAAGACGCCCGTAGCTTATTATTTTCAAAAGTTAACGTTTCTAACGATACTCGTGCTATTAAATTATTAAAAATCGACGAGTATGGTAAATTAGTAGGTAATGAAAACTTTTATTACTGGGCTCAACTATCACATGCAACTGATAGTTAGATTGAAAAATCCTGACTCTCTTGAGCAAGCTATGTCATTTGCTTTAGAAGAAGAAAATTTCCTTCAATTTAAAAATAGTTCTAATCTTATTTATAAGCAAACACCTTCTGGAAATAATACAAATTCTCAATTAAATGTGAATAAATTCAAAAGACCAATGCATTATTCTGCTAATGCATATCGTCCGCAAAATGTATCAAATTTTAACAATAATATACCAAGAAATAATAATTCAAATTTTTATAATAACTTTTACCCGAACTATGACCCACAAAGAAACCCAAATTTCAACCAATTTAGAACAAATGCCCAAAATTCTGCCCAATTTAAACCTTTCTCAAATAACCTCCAAAATTTCGATAATAATTTTAGGTTTCCCCAAAATAATTCTAGCGTATCCCGCAGAACAGTGGAACCAATGGATACAACATAAATACTGCAGCCAATCGGTCAATACAAAGACGATTCGCTCAAGCGCCCCAACGCAATTTTAATTCACAAGAACTTTTCAACCAATCTATCGAACCCTTACCAAATAACACCGAAATCGACCCCAATGATCAAATTGATTATTCCCAATTTCAGAATCAATATGCCGAACAGCAATATTATCCTGATTCTGATGAAAACCAAATTTCATTTGAAGAAAATGACTATGACAATAACAATCCCTATAACCAAAATTAGGAAAATGCTAGTAACTATGGATACCCAGGTTATGATGAAAATTTTCAAATAGTGACCCCGACCAACAATGTGACGTAATAAATTTAAATAATTATTCTAATTCCGATTTACCCGTTCTTATATTACCCGAATTAAATGCCAAATTCCTCATCGACACTGGTAGCGGAAAAAGTTTTATCAAACCCAATCTTGCTTATCAAATATACCCAAATTCAATCGACTTTGAACCATTTTCAGTGCTTACGGCACATGCCACATCAATTCACAATCAGGTAGTAAAAATTCCCATATTTCCTTCTTTTAATTGTCAAGGAAATCACAAATTTTATTTATTTGATTTTTCCCCAAAATTTGATGGATTATTAGGAACAAATTTCCTTATATAAATTGGTGCGGAAATTAATTTAAAAAATAAATACTTGAAAACGCCAAACGCAATGTTTTTTTTGTATTTTCAGAGCGAATTGAAACCCCAGAAATCATTACATCATTTTGAAACATTTGAAGCTATTATTCCGCCTCGAACTTGTCAAAAAATAAAAGTACCGGTTAATGAACAAAATGGTATAGGTATTTTAAGTTATACAGACTTTTGTGCCGCTGAAATACCAGAATCTTTAGTAAATATGGTCAACTCATTTGCATTAACGACCATATTAAACCCACGCGAAAACCCTGTAAAGATAAGCATATATAGGCCACCAGATATTGAATTACTTGACGACGCAGAGATTAATTTCTATGAAAATATTGAGGTCAACAATTATAACATTACTGATAATGACCATTTCGATAATTTGCAAAAACAAAATCTTAAAAATTTAAGATTATCGCATTGCAATTCTGAAGAATACAAAGCCATTCGAGACCTTTGTTATCAGTATCGTCATATATTTTTCTGTGAAGGTTCGCCCTTAACTTTTACCAACCAAATTAAACATAAAATAAATCTCACTGATGAAACTCCTATATTTACCAAAACCTATCGATACCCTGCAGTCCACAAACAAGAAGTTACCACCCAAATAAACCAAATGTTACAAAACGGCATTATTCAGCATTCTACGTCACCTTGGAGTAGTCCTATATGGATTGTCCCGAAAAAAATGGACGCCACTGGAAAAAGAAAATGGAGAATCGTAAACGATTATCGGAAACTTGATGATAAAACGATTGACGATAAATTCCCATTGCCCAATATTTCCGATATCTTGGATAAATTAGGCAAGGCGCAATATTTCACATCACTCGATTTGGCCAATGGATTTCATCAGATCGAACTTGATCCCCGTGATATTTCCAAAACAGCTTTTTCCACCGACACCGGACATTTTGAATTCAAACGAATGCCCTTCGGTCTTAAAAATGCTCCTTCGACCTTCCAGCGATTCATGAATAACGTTCTCCGAGGCTTAAAAAACGAAACTTGTTTAGTTTACCTCGATGACATAATCATTTTCAGCACTTCTCTAACAGAACACATACAATGATTTCGTAACGTCTTTGAGCGCCTCAGACAGTCAAACTTCAAAATCCAGCTAGATGAGTCTGAAGAATATCTTGGACACAAAATCACTAACGATGGAGTTAAACCCAAACCCGACAAAGTCGAAGCTGTGAGACATTTTCCTATCCCAAAAACACAAAAGGATATAAAATCTTTCTTAGGCTTAGCCGGTTATTATCGCCGATTCATCAAGGATTTTGCCAAATTCGCAAAGCCCTTGACCTCCTGCCTAAAAAAAGGTGCAAAAGTCATTCATAGTGAACCTTTCATAAAATCATTCAATCATTTGAAAAAACTCCTTATAAATGCACCTATCCTGAAATACCCTGATTTCGAAAAACCCTTTGTACTTTCCACAGACGCCTCGAATTTCGCCCTGGGAGCCGTATTGTCACAAGGAAATCCACCTCACGATCAGCCAATCGCTTTTGCGTCTAGAACACTCAATGAAACCGAACAAAGGTATTCCACAATAGAAAAAGAACTTTTGGTTCCTAAAGTGAATATCGTATCGAACGTTCAAATTCGAACACCCAGCAAATTTCGAAAGTCGTCCTTCCACAAGTAAAGCTAACTAACTATCAAGCCCCTATTATAATTGGTCCGAAGAGAAACCAAAATGAAATTGAGTCCCTTCCAACTCAAACAGCACATAGCACAGACGCTGTAGACAATTACTCAAATATGTCTATGCTAGACGAAATAAATAATAATAAATCAATGCAATTTATTATCAAAAAATCTCCTTACGATGCCTACATTAAAATAGAACCCGAAAATTTTGACGGTAATAAAATCATTCATGCAACTTTACCTACCCAAATTCCAGCTATTTTGAAATTTCTAAAAGAATATCTGCAGAAAAAGTCAACATACATTTATTTCTTTTCGAAAGATCTTGGAATCTATTTCCAACAATGCATGAAAAATCACTTTAAAAACCTAAAACTAATTGAATGTACGAAGTTAATTAATAACGTACAACCAATAAAAGCCAATTATTATCGGAAATCTTTAAAACAA